GCTCAGATGCCCACAGCGGCAGTTTTATCTTTTCCTGTAGGGTTACTATGAGTCAGAATCAATTGATGGCAGTGGATTTGGGCTTAAGATGACTCTGCTGTTTTTAGTATCTATAATCATAGTTCTCACCTGTTTTATGTGAATTGCTGCTGGAACATCCAGGAAGTAGGTAAAGTAGTAATAATAATGGCGATGATAATTCATTGACTACTTTCTGTGTAATATATATTCATCTGAATTCTTGTGCATAGTCTCATTTAAATGCCACCACAACTTCTTAAGAGCCGAATTAGTCTATGCAAATTGACAAAAGAAGTAACAGAGGCACAGAGAAGTGCGTTGCCCACGGTTACCTCCCTAGTAAGGGATAGAGCTGCTATTTGATCCCAGAGAGCCTGACTCTTCCGAGGATGAATGCCCGGGAGGGCCTCTGGAGCAAAGAGCCCTATTCTGATGCTCAAGGTGGTTGGTGTCTCTTACAGGGCTTCAAATCCGGTCCGCCAGCAAGGCACAGCTGAAAAGGGATTCCTTTTCCTTTCTACTTCTGAGTCATAGCACCTCCTTGTTTTTAAGAGTATCTTGTAATCATACAAGGAGGTACACATTCTTAGCCAACACTGCCTTAACAGTTGTGTATCAGGTACTCTTTTATGCACATTAATTCATCGACTACAGCACCTCAGTTTTTTGTTTTGTTTTATAGTTCATACAGGTATGAGTTTATTCTAAACAAAACATCTTTATTTTTAAAAATAATTTTATTGGGGGCTCTCACAGCTCTTATAACATTCCATACATCAATTGTATCAAGCATATTTGTACATATGTTGCCATCATCATTTCCGAAGCATTGTTTACTTGAGCCCTTGGTATAATCTGCTCTTTCCCCACGTGCATTCCCTACCCTTCCACCTTCATGAATACTTGATCAATTATATTTTGTTATTACTATTTCACATCTTACACTGTCCATTGTCTCCCTTCACCCACATTTCTGTTATTGGTCTCCTTTGGGAGCAAGGGGGATGGCTACGTATCCAACCTTGTGATGGGTTTCCCCTTCTTCCTCTTCCACCTCCCTGACCATCTCCCTACCCTCATGATATTGCTCCTCCCACTACTGTTCCTGAGGGTTTTATCTGTGCTGAATTCCATGTGTCGAGAGCTCTTGTACCAATGTGTGTTCTCCAGCCTAGTCAGATATGTAAGGTTAAACTGGGTCGTGGTAGTGGGTGGGGGGGAGCGGGGAAGAAAGCATTCAGGAAGTAGAGGAATGATGTGTATTTCATCGGTGCTATTGTACACCTTGGTTGAATCATTCCTTCCTTATAACCCTTCTATGGAGGGATATGCAGTTGTCTACAGATGGGCTTGGGTCTCCATTCCAAACCCCCTTGATGGCATTGATGTAGTTGTTTCTTTTGTATCTTTTGATACCTGGTACCTGATCCCTTTGACACCTCATGATCACACAGGCTGGTTGCACCTTGGTTTTTAATCCCTATTTTTCAGATGAAAGTATCATCACAATGAAAATGTGATAGTGAGAACGGCAAGGGGTGAGCCCAGATAGTCTGGCTGCAGGGTCTGTGCACTACAGTACAGTTCTTAATAAAGGTCTTTAAGAAAAATGCTGCCTGTGATATTTGGATATAACGGGAATCATGTGATGAAGTTTGGATCTGGTGAAAAAATTTTTTTAAGGTGTAATGCAAATAGTTTGTGAAAGGTTGATTAAGTTGCCTTAAATTTTTACTTCTATAAATAATACTGCACTAATATCTTTATCCATGGTTTCTTGAGCACATGGTAGACGTTCTCTAGGGTAGAAACAAGGATTTAGATTTGCTAGGTTATTGCTACCCAGAATGCCTCTCTCTCCCTGTCTGTCTAGGTCTTTCTTTTTCTTTCTCTCTCTCTATGTATATATTAAATCATGTAAGGGCATTTGATGTATTTTTTTTCTACAAGTTTCTGGGATTTATAGAACACTGAAGAAGAATTGCAGTAATATCAGTTAAGCAAACTTCGGTTGCTAATTGCGTATAGAGGACTATGAATAATTAAATGAGGAATTTATACTCTTACCAAAGAAATACCTGACTCACCCCACTATTACAGTAGCTAGCATATTATCAAATAATTGGTTAATTCTGCAGTACACACAAGTCTGAACTCGAAGGAATTGGGGGCTCTGCCACCTAGTGGTTAGAATAAAGGTCTTTTTACATACAGTTTTTCATCTTGAAAGTAGGGAACAATTACCAGAGGAGTTTGTTAACTGAGATTCTGACATTGCCAGCAGAAGGAAGAACTATTGGTGTGAGTGTCTAGAAGCCTGCATCTTTAAAAAGCAGCGTGTGTGGCTGATGTTTCTGACGTGCTTGATCAGAACTCTGAATCTAGTACATGGTTTAGCAACAGGCTCATCTCCTTCTACTTCATCCTCTCCTCCAGCAGCTGTGGCAATCCCCCCGGATTACAAGGGAGCTGTGGGGATCTTCTGAGACTTAGATTATTGGGGTTGAAGCGGAGCCAGCTGAGTTTGTTCACCAAGGAGGGAGGGGAACAGGCAATGGCGTGTGAGAGTGAGGACGGCCCTGTTAGTTTTGCTATAAATTCATTTGCGTTTCCTCCTTAGTGCTTTCTGTTGACCTTGGTGTTCCTTTGGACTCCGTGAGACACTCTACTTGTTTTCTCTCCCTTTTGTATTCCTCAGCCCAGTGGACAGTGTCTCCTCCAGAGTCAGCTTCCAGCCCATCACCCAGGCCATTTCCGTGTATCCCACGGATTCCTCTTTTCTCCCTCTGTGTCTGCCCCAGAAAATTCTTACTCCTAGCTCTTCACTGGGCTCTTTACGTTTTTCATACATCTCTTAAAATTACCCAAACCCAAACCAGTATCGCGGCCCCCACACACAGGATATTAGATTCTCCCCTAGTTTCCCACTGTACATTTCAGCTTGTACCCTCATCCTATCCTCTTATCCCTGGCACCTTCAAATGAAAATTCGTTTTGCTAACTCAGTATTGCATCCATAGGTGGTTCTCTTTTGGAGCCCCGGGGAAGGAGTGGTGACATCAGTGGCTTGCTGCTGCTCACAAGGGCTGTAGCTGGACACCCCCCTCCGCTCCTTGGGAGAAAGACCAGGCTTTCCATGCCCATAGTCATGGCGTCGAAACCCACAGGGTCAGTTCTTCCTTGCCCTAGAGCGTTGCGATGAGTTGAATCAACTTGATGACTGTGAGGTTTTTCCTCTCATTTTATTTCATCATTCGTTCCTTAGGTTGTTCCCCTGGCCTAGAATGTAAAGTCTACTGAATCTCCAAGTACCACTCACTCACCTAAGCCAACTACAGATGATTCTTGGCTTCATTCATTGATTCCTCCTCTGGGCTCTGATAACACTTGGAATCTTCAATACTGCCCACTTTAAACCTCCGTTACACACTCCCATGTATCTACGGACTGTTGGTTAGACTTCTGCTCTTTAGTAAATTGTAAGCTACATGAGGAGAGAGATAATTTGTCATCATTCTTTGTTATTTTCCAAGGTCTTTTGCATATTCTCCCATATATAATATGGCTTAGTTGAAGTTGTTTCTGTTGTCTAAGGGATTGTCCTTATTTTGCTTTACTGGTAAGAAAGAATGAAAATGACTCACATTTTAGTAAGCATTTACTGTTTGACAAAGAGAGCCCTTGGGTGCTACAAATGACTAATGTGCTCACTGCTGAGCAAGAGGTTGGTGGTTTGAATGCCCCCAGAGAAAGTCCTGGCAGTCCATTTCCCAAACATCAGTCATGGGAACCCCCTGCAGTTCAGTTTTGTCCGGACAAACACAGGGTCACCAGGAGTCACAGTTGACTGACTCACTGTCAACTGTGTTTAGGGTCAGATGCTCTGCTTGGTATTTTACATCTGTTACTTTATTTTAAACCTAAAAGTCGAATGAGTAGAAGGGTAAACATTTTAGAGTAGAACAGTGGGCTCAGAAATGCAAATGCATCTCATAGTTACGGCCAGCAGTTCCCAGTCTGTGCTCAGCCCCTTTTGACCCCAGTGTCCCCTGGAGCACACTGGAGATGGGCATCATGTTTGGTAAAGCAGCGGGGCAGCCAAAAAAGAGGATGAGCTTCGATGAGCTGCATTGGCACGGTGGCTGCTTTGATGGGCTCAAACACAGGAACAATGCTGGGCATGGTCCAGAACCAAGCAGGGCTTCGTTCTGTTGGACAGAGCCACTAGGCGTCAGACGGACTCAGTGGGCCCTAACCACAATTGCCACATGGCCTCTAGTTTCACTTTGCTGCTGCTGCTGCTGTTTGGTGCCACCAAGACCAACTCCTAGCGCCCCTCTGTGCATCAGAATTAAACAGGGCCCAGCCCTGGACCCTGCTCACCACTGCTGTGATGTTTGCACCCCTTGTTGCAGCCCTGTGTCAGCCTATCTCACGGAGGGTCTTCCTCTTTTTTGCTGTCCTTTTGCTTTACCCATAAGCAGGTTGCCTTTTTCTAGGGACTAGACCTTCCTGACAACAGGCCCAAGCACACAGGGCAAGGGCTGGCTCTCATTCATTTTCGTTATAGCTCTTCCACAAGGTGCTTGGTCTCAGTGCGTTGCATTTCTATTGTCTTTCCTTCATAAAGAGTCTGCTCTCAGGGAGGTAGAGTGTACTTTTTTGTGCCCTGCTTCATGCCCCAGTGGACAGAAATACCTTTCTTTACGCGCATGCCCGGCTTTCTGTGTAACTACAGCAAATGCCCCCTGCCCTTCTTCAGGGTTGTGTGTGAATGGAGTAAAGCATTCCTTAATGTAGGGCACTGAGGTGTGTTATAGGACACCGTGGACAGACGCATCTGGGTTGCCTGCCTCGCCTCCGTCGACTGGTTCCCTGGGCTCCCTTTGGGAATGTGAATGATCTCACTGAGCAAGGTCACAGAGAATTTCCAAACTAAATACAAACCTCGATGTGTTTGGTTGTGTCATCCGCCACAGGGATTCCGAGCCAGCCCTCGACATCTTAGAAGGAGGGCCGCGGCGGCGGCGGCGGCGGCGGCTGCCCGCCTGGAGGAGGTCAAGCCCGTGGTGGAAGTTCACGCCCAGAGCGAGCCAGAAGCCGCAGCGAGGAAACGAAGAATCAAGAAAACCAGCCGCGTCCCGCCGGAGTTTTATCACTCTGTTCAAGGCGCTTCGACCCGAAGGCCCGTAAGTAGAGATGGTCTCATAAAGATTGAAAACTTCTTGTACGGTTACATTAGTATGGCCTGGTGCCTAGTTTAAAAAACAATCAGAAGAACCGTTTGAAAACCATTAGGTTGTTATTGTCACTTAAAAAGGGTTTTGTGTGTGTGTTGTAAGTGAAAGTTCGCATAGCAAATGGGGTTCCTAATGAAACACGTTTGCAAAACCCATTTTCTGGCTTCTTTGCTTTTCACATGCGATGGCATTCTCATGATTTCCAACCTGGGGTGGTGGGAGGGGTGTCACTTTCCACTAATGTAGATCCCTTGCCTCTCCATAGACGCTCGTCTGGCCAGTGCTGACCGTTCGGTCTTGGGGAGCTCATTGAGGGAGCAGTGCATTCACTGGTGTGCTGCCTCTGTGATAAGACTACCCCTTATTCTGACGAAAGGTGGCTTCGTTGCCAACTCAAAGGGGTTGGTTTAGTCTCGATCAGTCTAGTAAGTTGGGCCTTTTAGGGATTTGAGTTTTGCTCTTTAGTGTTCTTCCATTGTAACTGGCACCTTCTGTCGTGCTTCTTGCTGGTTTGAGGGGCTGGCTGTGATAGCGGAGCACCCTTTTCTTCTGGTCTCGCGGCTGGAGTCTTGTGGGCCATTATTTCTGTGGGCTGATTTCTTCCTTGACCGGTTTCCCTCCCTCCCTCCCTGTGCTTCAGATGCGAAGAGACTCAGGAGCTCTGAAGAGCCCAGGGGCTCCTTGCCAGTCTAGGATGTAGAGCATTCTTTTTATAAGCTATGTTACACCGAGATTGTTAGCCCAAGATTGTTGTCCTGAACCTTTAAAGCAAATTACTTAGTCCCTCAACATGATTGATTCAGGAAACTAGGGTGGGGCGGGGTTCTTCGCTGAAGCCCTAATGCGATTTATTATATGAAGGGGCTTCAGAAAGTTTGTGGGAAAACATGGAATTAAAAAATAATGGAGTTTCCCCACAAACTTGTGGAAGGCCCTTCGTATATATGAATATATAAATATCACACATAACTATAGATAGGGGTGTTCGAACAGTTAATGGAAAAATTCTTGACTGGGAGCAGGCGGACTGGGCAGGTATTAGCTCCTGGAACCTCGCTCCGCTTCCAGACACACTCATGGTACATTTTGTATCTGAGCAGGACCTGCTCTCACTACTTCAGCTTGATGCCCCCGTGCCCATTGTAGCCCTGGCAGGATGGCAGTGTGAAGCTGAGGGATCAGTGGGCCCAGCATACTCACCCATGCAGGCGGATGACTGATCTCACAGCACTGGCAGGACCCCAGGTCAAACTCCTGGCAAATCCAGTTTCAAAGCTCTGAGAAAAGCTAGGGGTGATCATTATATTCCCTATTTCAGTGCTTCCTCAATGGAGGTGGCAAGCTTCCCCTTGAGCAAGGAGAACCATCTGAAACAGCCAGACACTAAGAAGGGACTTCAGAAAGCCTTGCCCTGGAACCTGAACGGTTTTGATATGGAGGAAGCCAAGATCCTTTGGCTCAGTGGAAAACCCCAGAATGCCCTAGAAGGTTACAATTTACTGAAGGTACCTTAGAGCCAAAAGGCTACACCTGGCTCCAGCCGGAATACCTGCTATTACGTTCTTTCCCAGCCAGACGTATTCTGTATGTCCCTGGGATATGGAATGACTGGGTGTCACAGGCTGGAGCTTGGATGGTGGTGGCACTGGACAACAGTGTGTACTTGGTGCATGCTCCCAGTGGTGCTATCTTGCAGCTACTACAAACAGAGCAGACGGGCAATATGTATCCCCTGTGATCCCTGGATCACAGAGGGCACCTCCTTGGCTGTGGGTACCAGCAGCGCTGACGTGCAGCTATGGGAGGTGCAGCAGAAGAAATGCCTTCAAAATATGAGCCGTCACTCTGCCAGAATGGCCTCGCTCTGTTGGAGTAGCTACATCCTGTCTAGTGGTTCATGTGTTGGCCACATCCACCACCAAGATGCCTGGGTAGCAGAACACGCTATGGCTACATGGAGTGGTCATAACTAGGAAGTATTGGGGCTGCACTGGAACCCAGGGGGGTGACATTTGACCAGTGATGCTAATGATAACTTGGTTGTGGCTCACCACGCCTAGAGAGGGTGGCTGGGTTCCCCTGCAGCCATTCACAGCAACAACAAGGAAATGCCAAGGCTGGACATGGTGTTCCTGGCCGTGCAATGTCCTGGCAACAAGAGTGGCACCAGTCATCGACACATTTATATCTAGAACATCTGCTCTGGGGCTTGTCTGAGTTCTATGGACTCCTGTTCTCAGGTGGCTCTTGGACAGGTGGTGCATAGGTTGAGTGTTGGGCTGTGACCTGCAAGGTCAGTGGTTCAGACCCCCAACTATTCTGAAGAAGGAAGGTAAGAAAGCCTTTCTACTCTGGTAAAGATTTTAATCTCAGAAAGCCTACTTAGGGTTGCTATGAGTCTGAATCAACTTGATGATAGTGAGTGGGTCTCTTTGGAGCCAGCTGACAGTGACTTTTTTTATATAATTATTTTATTGGGGGCTCTTATAGCTCCTATAACATTCCACACATCAGTTGTATCAAACATATCTATGCATATTTTGATGACTTTTTAGAAGTCTCAGTCTCCTTAGCTGGAGTCTATTTAGGTAGTAGTGTTTCCTTTTCTCACCCAGTGCCCTCTGCCTCTGTTGGCTGTCGTACTGCCTTTCCTGAGAAATTTGGGGTCTCCACCTCTTTCTCGCTTCCTGAGCATATTGTTCTATGTCCTCTGATTTTTTTTTTCCTTGATTGAAGCTCTGGCACATGGATTTTTTAGCAAGGCACAGTGACCTGAATAGAACATTTAATAAACAGTAACTTCTTCCTCTCCTCTCCTCTCCTTTCCCTAAATTGTGAGCTCTTTGAAGACCATGCCATCTGGTTACTATATTTTATTAAATGAATGATGGGTATTTATACATGAAAACTTAGCATATGAAACGAGTGGTACAAGTAGAAGCACTGTAGCTATTCTGAGGATGGGGAGGTAGTGTTTTATTATTATTATTTTTAGCTGCCTGGTCAAGGTCTACTACTTTATGGAAGAGGTGGGATTGAGTTGGGGTTGAACATATGGGTAGGAATGCAAGTACTCACTAAAAGTTGGTAGTTTGAACCCATCCCATCAAGCAGTGCTGAGGAAGAAAGACTTGGTGATATGCTTCTGTAAAGATTATAGCTCAGAACACCCTATGATGCAGTACTGCTCTGTAACATATCAGGTTAACATGAGTTGGAATTCCCTTGATGGCAATGGGTTATGTTTTGGTTTGACTAGTCAACAGAGGCTAGCGCTGGAAGGTAGAATGAGCAATGGTATTAAGCACTGTTTGGCTGGATGTATGGGACTATAAGAGAAAAAGTACAAAGTAAAACTGGAAAAAGAGACTGAGGCCAGAATACATTTCAGATGACCACTGAATGTGAGCTTTATTCTATATGCTTCATGGAGACACTGGAACAAGTGAGTAGTGTGATCAAAGCACTATTTTAGGTCAACTGGCAGCCCCTTGCAGAATGAATTGCAGTAGAGCAGGTTGGAGCCAGTTAGGTAAGTCTAGGAATGAAGCGATAAGGTTTTACCTTGGGTCTGGCCTATAGCACTTTGCTCGCTTTGATCCTCACTGGTGATAAGAGCTGAGGAGAATCCCACTCTGAGGATGGCTTTACCCTCTCTATTGCTGGAGGGAGACTTGTTGCTGGGGAGCTCGGAGTAAGTTTCAAATCATAGTGCCCCTGTGTGTAGCACTGAAACACTCACCGGTCTTGCCTGCACCACCCTCAGAGTTGTTGGTGAGCTTGTTGCAGTCATGGTGCCGCTGTCAATCATTTTTTGTGGTTGTCCCATCGACTTTACCAAGCATGATGTCGTTCTCCAAGGACCGTTGTCTCCTGGTGCCATGTCCAAAGTACATGAGATGTACTTACTCTGAAGGAGCATTCTGCGCATTCTGGTTGTACTTCTTCCAAAACAGGTTTTTTTTCCTGGTTGTTCTTTTGGCCATCCAGCATCGTAGTATAAATGCATTGATTCTTCTTTCGTCTTCTTTGTTGAATGTCCAACTTTCACATGCATGTGGAGAGAGAGAGAGAGAAAGAGAGAGGCTGAGGCTAGAAGGGAATAAATGGAAGTGGAGGCTACTGCTTAGCCAAAATCCAGAGTTCTGGGGTGTATTCTCTGGGACAAGTAAAACTTACTTCTCTCCTCTAGAGACTAGAACTTGGGAGTGTTAGATGGTAGCAAGGCTCTGACTCACATTATTCCTGTGCAGCCTTCTTCAACATTATGGCCGTTGCTGGAATCTCCATGCCTTTCAGCCATATGTGGCCTTGAGCCGAGGCCGCAGTTGGATCGGGTTAGGTGCAGTCCCACCTGTGTCTGAAGCCTGTCTCTCTCTTACGCATTTGGAGAACTACAGTGTTACTCCATGCTTCTGTGAAGGCAAATCTGATTGGACATGGATGTGGTGATCCAGAATGATTTGAATGTCTTTATATGAAGCACTCCAGACATTGTTAACTGCAATCCGAGTCAGAAACAGGCCCATGAGTGAGAAAGACTTAAATGAATGTAGCTGCAAAGGGAGATGACTCAGAACATGTGACAGTGCAGCTTCAGCCAGCCTATATTGGGATCATTCTCTTGAGGAAGTGGGCCACTTAGCACCTAAGTGACTGCTCTGACCTCATTTCTTATCCTTGTGTGCTCAGAATTTTTACTGTAATGTACTTAAATGAAGAGAGCCCTGGTGATGCAGCGGTTAAGTGTTCCAACTGACAGGGCTATGGCTTGGACTCACCAGATACTCTGCAGGAGGCAGATAGGGCGGTCTGTTTCTGTAAAGATTTACAGCCTTGGGAATCCTCTGGGGCGGTTCTGCCCTGTCCTACAAGGTTGCTAGGAGGGAGTTGAAATGACTCAATGGCTACAGGTTTTTGGTTGGTTGGTACCTGTAGGAATTTATAAT